ATAAGGCTGTTATTTTATTTTTGGCAAATAAGTACTTATGAAGACTTTGGAGAGACCCGCTGACGAGACCCTGCTCCTCTATTCTCACATCACGGACAGCGCGCCAATAAACTGTCTCGTCTCTCTTCTTCTCTCGTCTTCTCTCTCTCTCTATATGTATAGATTATATATATATATATATATATATATACATATTCTTTCGCCACCAGGCCGAACTGGCGATAAACTTGATATTCGATTCTCCACCAGGCGCCGAACTGCGTCGATAGAATCAGTATCTTCCCGCCCAGGCACGACTAGCGGATAAATCGCCCAGCAACGCGCCGGCGCCTCACCTTGTCAGGTTCGGCAAATGCTTGTATGAGAAGCCGTCGTCTCTCCTCCTCACGTCTGCAGCTTCTCCTCTAAAGATGCCTTCTCCCCGCGTCAGCTCCTGCAACCATGCCTCCACGTCACACTCGCCCATCATGCCACACGAGTATGAACCCCACGCCTTACTCGCCCCACCCACACTCAGTGATGTTAAGCACACCCAACCATCACCTCAATGTGTTAGCAACACCAGCCCACACCTCAATGTGTGTAGCACCACCACCCCACACGCTCGATGTGTTAGTACACCAACCACCCTCAATGGTGTTAGCACCACCCACCCCACCCCTACAATGTGTTAGCCACCACCCACCCCACCTCAATGGTGTTAGGCACCACCCAGACCCAGCACCTCAGATGTGTTAGCACCACCCACCCACACCTCAAGGTGTTTAGCACCCAAACCCCCAAAAAAAAAAAAAAACCCACACATTGCCAAGGTGTGAGCACACTCACCCACACCTGCAGTGTGTTAGCACCCACCCACCGCACACCTCATGTGTTAGCACACGCACCCACACTCTCAATGTGTTCAGCAGCCACCACCCCACACCTCATGTGTTACACCACCCACGCCACACCTCAATGTGTTTAGCACACCCACCCCACACCATCAATGTCGTTAGCAGCCACCACCCACACCTCAATGGTTAGTACACC